CGAGTGCCTTGAATTTTGGTGCAGATAGTAGTAGAAATGCTGTTATTGACGTTATCTTTGTTGTCTTTTCTTGTGTACTTCAGTTTTAACTCTACCAAATTTTATTGAGAAAGAACAAAAGCTATCTACCTGTAGAGAGATATTTGATTGACTTTCAAATCTCGAGACTTAACTCCAGATAACTTCAAAATCAATGAAATAAACTGATACTTAAAAGTAGCCAAGTGTTACTTCGTCACTTAAAGTGACACTCTAAGTGATGAAGTGCCACTTCAGGTGTTGAAGTGTCACTGACACTTCGAGTGAGAGACACTTCGAAGTGTGTGCAGCAAAATTGGAGGTTATTTCCCTCTTGAGGAAAACACATTGGTAAATTTATGCTTTTTTTAATGGAAAAAATGAATGAAGTTAGTTTAATTACTTTTCTTGTTGTTCAAATGTTCCCTTTTTTTTGTTGTTCAAATGTTTTTCCATATTTCTAACTATAAGTACTTCTTATTTAAGTACTTACCTTCTTATAGCTTTTTTGTTTTATCTCAATTGTTCAAAATTATTTTTTTCATCATGCCGTGCTGTTTGTTTTGAAAATTTTTTAAATTCAAGTTTTATGTTCTCTGTTTTACATACTTTCTATTAATCCTTTTTATTTTTTGAAGTGAATGTGCGTCTTTTTGGTTTGCATTCGGTTTTCTTTTAAATTTTTCTCTGTCTAATAAAATATTGAACGAAAATACGACCTTAACTAGAGTCGCTGCGTGTTTGACACGAATCAGCAGGCTCGTATACGTGTAGGGAACATTTTTTCGCAAGTTTATCGAAAAGCGTTTTTATATTCCAAAAATATCTGTTTAAAATATGGCATGTCCTACTATGACGATAAAAAAAGTCAAAATGAGTTTCGTTCACAGAACTTATCGTTCGTTTATGAGAGGAGCTAGTAAATCTGACTCATTCAATTTATTTCTCTCCTTTATGTGGACTCTGAATCCGAAGGATAAACCTCAATTGTTTTCTAAGAAACAGAGCCGAGCTAATTAGTATTATGAATGTTATTTGTTTGACCTTTTCAACCTGCAATGTAAACAAATAAGTCGTCAACTGGAGCTATTAAGAAAATATCCGTTAAAAAATATAATCGTTCATTATATGCTTGTCGAAAACTTAATAAAGTTGTTCGATGTCGTTTGTATATATTTCATGATGTTTGGAATAAAGTTTAAAATCTGACTTTCCTAGAAGCTAAAGAATAACACAAGAAAGAAAGTAGTGATACAAGGAAAGTGATGCCAACAGATGTTCAACAAAGTTCTAGTTCAGATACAGCAATGCTGTCAAATTCGAATGATAAACGTGTAAGATTTTGCATTAGAATAACAAACTGTGAATGACTGGGATCACAACAGATGATAAAAAGAAAACAATGTCATAGTCACTAAGAAAGAAAGTTAAATTTAATGAAAAGAAGACGATTTCCACAGACAAGGTAAGAAAACATGAGTTTGAGATAGTAATGGATATTACGAGAATGACGCGGCATATATGACCTGGAAGAAATAAATAGTTCCATAGTTAAAGGAAAAATAAATTAATAATACTACACTCAAAGGATGAACTCTATACTTACAATACAATGGATAAGAATGAAGAAAGAATAGGACGAGGGGCGGATAACAACTGAGAATTAAGGGCCCCCTTCTCCGTAGAAATGCTGTGAAATAACAACTGAAACTCACTTCATATTTCAGAACTGATTGGAAACTCAATGGAGCACTTTTTCGTTTTTGTTTCTAGTTTTTAACTATTGTCGTTCACTAGTTTTCCAGAAAACTCGGTTTTTCATTGTGCCACATTACGACCTTCCTTTAATTTCATCCGATTGAGTTAAAACTTTTACTCTAGATGCTCAAGGTCATAGCGCAGAGGTATAATTTTGGAATTTTTTTTAGACCTTTCTTTACCGAGTTACAGGAAAAATACTGAAAAACGTCTTAAAAACCAAGTTTTTCAATTTTAGAAACCCTATAACTCGGTAAACAAAAGTCTAAAATAAAATTCCAAAAAACCACCTCTACAATAGTGTCTTGACTACTTCTGGTAAAATTTTTAACTCGATCGGATGGAATTTAAGGGAGGTTATAATGTGGCACAATGAAGCACGGTAGCATAAACAATAGTTTTCGAGAAAAAACGCATTTTGTACACAGGCCACTTTTTTCAGAGCATTTGCCGTGAAAACTCATCGGGAAATTCTGTAAAACGCCTCTGTGTGGAGAAAAAAAAACGTTCCTCTACATTAGGCTATGCTCGGCTCAAAATCCAGAATTTTTACTATAAGCGGGGAGATACCCTTAACAGCAGCAGAAATGGACTGAGATAGTTCGTCTTTATACTAGGCAAGCGGCGAGTGATCTTAGGAAAAAAGATTTGACTGTTATGTTTCTGACAATAAATTTTTTGAAAAGTTACTGAGTCATACCATTTTTCATCATTAATACGGGTGTCAATCAATTTTACTGACAACTAGTATAGAACAAAACAATATTTGTGTCACTTAAATATCAAAACTATGTAAACACTTTTCGAACGTTACAACAACATAATGAAAAACAAACAAAAAAAAAAAGACTAAATTGTAAATTAAGCTTGTTCCAATTGGATAAGCGTACCTCCACAGTCTTTTGGATGTAAAAACATTACTAATTTTCCACTAGCACCAACTTCTGGTTGTTCACTTAAACATCGGACATTTTGTTTTTTAGCACAATTAATTGCTTCTTCAAGATTATTTACCTAGAAAAATAATTTATCTTTGAAATATTTCTTTTTAAATAGATTTCTGAGAAATAAACAATAATAACAAAAGAATTTCAAAAACAATAAAGCATTTTGAAGAAAAATTTTCGCTGTCAAAGTTGTTCAGGATAGTCTTCTTCACACCCTAAGTCAAGCACTTTTTTCATTTTAGTGGGAAAATTTTGAAAAAAATGCAATTTACATAAATTTTAAGTAAATTTAAAGCTAGAAATTTTCTATTTGTAATTTATTTCAAAATTTTCCCACTAAAATGAAAAAAGTGCTTGACTTAGGGTGTGAAGAGGACTATCCTGAACAACTATGCCAGCGAAAATTTTTCTTCAGAATGCTTTGTTGTTTTTGAAATGCGTGCATAAGTTTCAAAAAATTACTTTAAGGACTCAAACTGCACTATAATGAAAAATGTTAATTTTCTCAGACACCGTTGGTTC